TTAAAAAAACACCCCCGCCCCATTCCTGTTTCTGTAGACAGGGCAGGACCCAGTGGAGCTATAGAAAATGAACGTGAAGATAGAAAGTTTACAGTAAGTTGAAGTTAGCAAATAATTAGTACATTTCCTTTAAAAACAACTGTTTCCTGAGAAGAATAAGCTTTTTTCATGAATAAATCAGTGAGGTAAGTTGAGTTCTAAAATTAAAATATCCAAATATCCTGTTAGGTCTTTTACATCATCAGCAATTCTTAATATTTTATAATCTGTTTTTAATTTTATGTTCATTGCTTTGCCTGCATGTATGTATGTCTGTATGACGGTATCAGAAGTCCTGGAACTGCACTTATAGACAGGTGTGACCTGCCATGTGAGTGCTGGGAATCAAAGCCGGATCCTTCAGAAGAGTAGCCAGTTCTCTTAACCACTGAGCCATCTCTCCAGCCCTATCAATTCTTATTAACAAGCTACAAAGGTAGCTCTGGAGCCTATCATAAAACGGAGAACTGTACCATCAACACCATAAAGGATGTAAAAGTGGCTGAGCCAAAATTTGGCCCATAGTCTGGCTGAGCTCAGGTTTTTCTCACACTGCATCCTTTTGCATAAATCTGTCTCTTGTTATCAACACAACTTTTTGCAAAATGGAACTATTTACTGAGAAGAGAGTTGAACTACAATGTTAGAGACCTATAACCTACTAGGAATCTGAAGTTCTTAAAGGTCTTAAAACACTTTGAACCATGAAGTACCTACTGTTTGATTCTAAATAATCCTTACAGGGAGGGATACATACATATATATTACACACACACACACACACACACACACACAAAACCAAAAACACAACTGCTCTCCAATTTGGTTCAATATTTAGGTGTTTGATATTTAACACCTGAAATCTAACAAGTCAAAATAATGGCAAAAATACTCTTTTCCTTCTGAAAAGTTAATCTTTGTAGAACTGACTGCTTGATGCTAGAGTGGTAAGTCCTAGAGAACCACATTGAACTATTTCTTTGAATTCTTCCTAAGTTTTTCTTCTTTTCCAAATGTCTTAGAACCTAAACAGATTCCATTTCCCTGAAAGTACACTAGGAGAGGAGGAACTAAGTACTTCCTATACCAGATGCTATTTCAGTTTCAATACATACAATACACATTTTAAGGCAGAATTAATCTCATTCAATAGGAGCACAGGCTTACAGAGAAAACGTTACCAACATAAGTCAATGTAGAAGAGCTTTGATTTAATCCCACATTAGCAGAAATGTTGCCCCTATTATCAAGATGTAACAGTGAAACATAGATTTCTATTTACATCAGAGTAGCCTTAAAAGATGCAAGCTGCTGGATGGGGGAGGTGGTGTGGGATGGGAGAGCATACACCAAGACAACATTTGCTGGCATTCCTCAGTGTGACTGAGGATCCAGAAAGACTAAGGGTCTATAGGCTCTATCCTGATATTGCTCAAGAAAAATAACCATATGCCCAGCTAGTTCAGATTCTTTGGGCATAGTTTTAATTTACAAAGAGAAGTAAAAAGAGAAACAATTCTTTGCTTGCAAAACACAATGATTCAAAAGGATTTAGAAGCAGTTCCAGGCCTTCCCAAAAGAGAACTTACAGGCTATTCCCACGGGAAGTGCATGTGCTAAATGCCCAAGTGTGGAGCCCCGTTAGTCCACAGATGAGGAAACTGAGGCTGAGAGAGGCAAAGTACTTGCTAAAGGCCACGCAGCTTGGGTTGGATTAGACAAAGCCATGTGATTTGTAGTTGGGAAGTCAGGACTCAACCTACGTATGGCGGCCAACAGCTGGCACTTTTTTATAGAACTGACAGCTTGGAGGCGGTTACTTGTAATTTCTTTCCTGAAAATGAGACAACATGAAAAAGAACTTCCACAGGTATTACCATGATATATATTTTAAGAGGACAAAAATCTGAGAGCAGAGTACAAATCTGTCTAATAGCCAAAAGAGGGGTGAAGAAAAGGTTCAATCAGATGATGGTTCGTGGTTACCGAACTCTGGTATTATGGGTCCTATGAAATTCTAAAATCTAAGTAATAGACAACTATTAATTTTTAACAGCAAGAGATAGTACTATTTTTGTCTAATATTTAGGACTTTAGTAGTAACTATGTATATTAGCTCCAGTTTTATATGCTGCAAGGAAATATTAGAAAAGAATCTTTCTGTAATTTTAAGACTATATACATCAACTTTTAAGTATATTTGAGGTAAAATTTGGTTTTTAAATAAAAAGGTTTTATAGTTAAAAATTAAACAAATTTAATAGTTGTAATTAATTAGTACATTTTTTGTAAGTTTGAAAAAAACTATACACTATCAATTAACATACAGAACTAAATTAAAGGCAGACGTTCTAGATGTATAGAATTTACCTCCTGTTTCTGTCAGACTCCAAACACCTTCATCTACACTGTCTTGTAACTTATGCAGTCTCCAGGGAACACCTTCCTTTTTTCCCCCAGATAGAATCATTTAATTTTTCACTAAAAACATTTAAAAATAAATTCAAATGGCACAGCTGCCTTCCTGGCAGCAACACTGTCACACAGAAAGCTGGTGTTAAAAGATCAGATTAAGAGCCTTCAGTCCTGGCACCAAGTGATACCCGTAGCCATGCAAGAGTGATTTTCCTGCCACTGAGGAGACAGGAAATAGAATCCTTCTTTCTCTAATAGCCTGCCTCTTCCCCACCCTCCAGATTAAGGTCCATCTGGCCCCAGAGAGGAAATGAGGTATCTGCTTACAGAATACCCTAAAATACAAGGTTGACTATGTTTAACCTCAAACACAAATGAGACCCTGAACAATGAGAACAAACATACTTGTGGCTTACACTTTAAGAGACATACTTCCATTGTACAAAATCAGAAAGAGTAAAAGAAAGATATACACAAAATTAGGATTTAGGAAACCATGATGTAGGATTATTATATATATTAAGGACTGAAATCAAGAACTGCCAAACCTTAGGGAAACAAATAGTTTAATGTTGAAAGAATGATGTCTACCCTTTCAGACAAATGCAGAAGAAAAGGTTGTTAATACCTCCCCCAAGGCTTTTCTCTATGGGGTACAACATCCTCAACCAATTAATTTCAGTCTTGCTTAGTGCTGCTACCATTGCACATTCTGCTCCTACTGGGCCTGCTCATACAAACAACATAACTCTTGTGGGAAAATAAATTAGTACCTCCAAGACCACCTTTCATTTCTGACCATAAACCACAGTCTGCAAAAATGCCACATGGACAAACCTGTCCTAGTAATTGCATAGAGTGGTTTGTATCTGCTGAGATCCAAAAATTAACACCACCCCAAGGGACAGTTTTAACTTTTCCTTTCTACCTTTGAGCATCACGCCTCAGCCTGGTTTTAGGGTCACATATTCTTCTCACTCTTTATCTCCACAAGCAGAACTTCTTAAAATAAGAGACAATCAAATCTAGATGAGGCCTGGAACAGTCAAGCTCCCCAAAGAAATGAAAATATGAGCTAGAGATGGCTAAATGTTGAGAACACTTGCTTCTCTGGCAGAGGAACTAAGTTCTGTGTCCAGCACTCCCTTGTTGGCTTATAGTCATCTGTAACTCCATTTGTAGGGATCTACTGCTTCCTTTTGGCCTCTGCAGGCACCAGGTACATGTGCAGCACACATGCACAGAGGCACACAAACATAAAGATAAATATTTTAAAAAAGAAAGAAATGCAAATATGCTCTTTGACACTTAGTTAAAACACATCTAATCCAGTCACAGGTAAATACTACGTTAAAAATAGGTAAATGAGGATAATGATGTTTAGTGGTCATAGATAGAAGGGGAAAACAGCATGTGAATTAGGAAGTAGCAAGGTTTGTGAACAGAGTGTGCCCTTCTTCAACAGAATAGTTATGCAAATCAAATCCTGGTTTGGACAAAATATGCCAGACAGAAATCCACAAACTCAATATACAAACTCAAATTCTGGTTTGTGTCTAACCCCAGCACATGCATTGTTAGACAAATGTGTAAATAGCTATTTTGAATGGCAGTGACAGAACACAGTAACTAAAAAGAGTGAGAGGAAAGTGCCTTCTCTATGCGAAAACGAAGTACCAAGCCTGTGGTCCCAAGACTTTAGAAATAGTTCATCCTTCTTACAGCTGATCATACCAGAGCAAATAAAGAATTTAATAATCCAAAAGCAAAACTCTCCCTTTCTAGTATTATCATTTAAACTTTCTACCTAACCAAAGCAAGAAATAAGCAAAGTAAAAAAAAAGGGGGGGGGGATACAAAGAAACCACCAAGAACTAGAAAGGTAGACCCTCCTTCACACCTACATAAATTTTTGACAGTATACACTTTCCTTGGTAGTAAGCAAAGCAAGTGAGCCACATGCCAGGCATTGGTCCACAAAGAGGCTCCTATCAGCAAAGCCTAAAGTGACACAGAAATGAGTACACTGAATTTATCTTGGATGTCTGTTCTAAATACATAGACAACATAAAAGGATTAATCATTAACTTAAAATAACTTTTAATAGGCAGAAGCCAAAATTCCCGTTAGGTGAAGCTCTTGTTAAGTCTCAATGCTCAATGACAGATGTAGAGATCAAGTTCTTGTCTTGGTGGCAATATTACCACTTCTGCAATTAGATGTCATTACAGCAAACAGGCATAATCCTGAGCAATACTACTTTTAATAATGGCAACAAAAATATTTTAGCAATTAAATTTTACTTAACAGATATATTCTATCATTAAATACATTTAAATTATGTTACACTGGACATTAATAAGGTTCAAAAGTTGGAATGAGAACACTACATCTTAAAAATGTGAAATACAAACATCAAGAAAATGATAAGGAAAAAAAGAAAAAAAAAGAAAGAAAATGGCAAGGCCAGAATCATGTCTAAATCCCTTAACTGTAAAAATCAATAAAATGGCAACAACTTCTAACCATCAGATCAACTATCTTACCTCTTGGGACAGGAAAGGAATGACCTGTGCACAGATAGCATTTAGTCGTTTCACAATCTCTGCCTGCAAAAAAGAGAGAAACACAATAGGAAGAACAGTCAGCTGGTTATAGATTCCCCAAAATATTAACCGGATGATATTAAAAGACTCTTGTCCTCTGGTTGACGGTGTCAATGGAAGAGGAAAACTACCTTCTTAGCAAGCCCATTAAAAGGATGCAGTGACAACAGAGCCACATTAGCAGTAGGATTTATTAAATAGCATTCAGCTTAAAATTTAATCTTCAAGCACCAGAGTAATAAAAAATGAATTTAATCTCCATGACTAGAAACCAGTTTTCTAAAGCTTTCATCAGAAGGACCCTTGCCCAATCTAATGGTTCTTAAAACCCCTAGTCTTTATTTAATGCGGATGACACATTTTCTTCTAGATATCACAACTGTTTCCATAACCAAATGATTAGACTTCCACAGTTGTTCTCTCTCTTCCCTACCCTCTCTTAAGTTCAAGCAAAATTGAACTTAACGACTGAGAGCCTCAACCTTCAGAGTGCTTGAATCTTAAGCATGTGTTGCCACACCTGGCAGTCTTTGACTGTCAACACTTAGTGGGATTTTTATACTTAGTTCCCAATCTCCTGGGGGGAAGGGGGAAGGGAGAGAATAGCAGTAATCAAGTAAACTAATGTAATTATTAATGACTGGGTAGCAGGGTATTTTCAAACAGTAAAGGATTCCATATCTGTCAGCCAGGGTTTTTAGTGTGTAGTTTAGAACAAGCTACAGTCTTAATACATTTGACAGAACAATGAGTCTGAAGACTTATCTTCATTATCACTTTTCTATAGATATGCAAAAGTTTTAACAAAGTTAGACTATAGAAACTATTCTTTAAAAATACAGGGACAAAATATATTTGCCTTGTACACACAATTCTGCCTTGGAACTCTGGGGGTTTTAAAGCAATAAAGAAAAAACATGCTGTTACATGTTTTCTTTAAAAACCTGCTCAAACTTTACTGATGTTCACCTTAGTATGAATCTTCAGATGGCATTTAGACACTTTATGATAAGCAGACAGCTTTTAATATATGCACATATGTGCATACAAAATTGCTCATATTTTAATGACGGGGTGGTGAAAGGGGGAAGCTAAGAAATGTTAAAAGACAGAAAATGTAAAGCAATTACTATTCCTGAGACATTCTTAAAATAAATTTCATCCAGAATCAGTCATTTTTATGAAAGCACACAAATGTTCTTTTTCTTGCTAAGTCATTATAGAACAGCAACACTACTTATGCAATCCAGGCTTCCTTGTTTTCGCAGCAACCCTTTTAACTTTGTAGCTAGGCAATTACTTAAATGCCAGCACCTTAAAAACTTCATCAGCTAACCCAAAACAAAAATTCACCATGAAGTCTCCAATGTAGGCTTTCCATTACAGCCTGTATTTAAGGAGAAAGACAAAGCCCAGAACCACTGAACAGCAGTGACGAAGGCTCCACTGTGCTGCCCTGATTTAATTTACTGCCCTGGCCCCACGGATCATTTAGCCATCCTTTAAGAATGCTTAAACCACCATGAAAGGCTGCAATGGGAAACACCAAACCCCTCTCCACCTGGATGCACATTCCACAGTGGTGATGGAGTTAAATTCTAAGGTAAGTTAAGAAAACAGAACAGCATTCAGGAGGCTGAATGCTCAGTGTCTCAAAGGCATTTGGTGGTTAGGCTTTTTGTAGGGAGAGGTGGGGGTAGGAATAAAAGATAATGAGACTTTAGGGCAGACCAAACTGATGATTCTTATGCTCAGAACCATCTGCCAAGCATATTTTCCTCATTATGTTGTTTACATAAATAAAATAGTCCCTTGCTAGAAGGGTTGAAAAAAAGTATGTGGGCATGTAGGAAAACTGAGTTCTTTAATTTGCCTACATAATGTAGGCAGGAAACTCATTCATCTGGTCAAATAAAAAAATAAGAGACATTTGGCACCTCAATAAGCTATTTTAGGTCCAAGCATCTATTTAAGGCAAAAACAAAAACAAAACAATGCCAAAATAAAAAGAAAAAAGTCTTAATACTAAAAATTATGTATGTTAACACACATCAACAGAAAAACAAGAGTAAAATCTTCAAAGTTTTCTTTAAAGGTCTCCTTTTGTTTAAAAGACTTCTTAATTTCTTTACGCTGTCATGCCAATAAATTTTCATGGACAGGCTAATTGGCAGCAAGGGGGTGGGGTATGTCTGTGTGATTTCATACAATTAAGCAGGCCATTCCTCACTTTGAAAGCTAAAGTTGCCTCGGAAACACTGCGGCTTCCATGGTCATCTAATTTCACCTCTTTTGTCCCACTGGACCAAGCTTTGGGGAGGCATCATTTATTTTCAGGCGTTTCCACTGGGCTTCAGCGATCAACCAGTAATACTGTGGACACACACTTCTAATGGCCTATGTTTTGAAACTGAGTCTAATCTAATGGCGTGGGGCCCAAACTCCTTTTCTAGCACAGCCATTAAAGGATGTAGGTTATTGCTGTTGTCACCATTGATATTTGTCATTGTAATGTAATTAGGGCCCTAAAATGATGCATTACAGCCCTTGGCACAGCTTCTATTAAAATCTTTTCTTCTGCTCACTGAACTGCGACCTGCTTTCTGATGAATAACAGACAGACAGCTTTAGGGTAAGAAGCAGATTCATCAAAGAAGTATTTTTCAGCTTTGGGGAAAGAGGGAAAAAGACAACTTAGCAGGAAAAGCCACAATACACATTTGAATTGCATCTGACCACTTGAAATTCTGATTGCATCTGATGAATCTGGCTTAGACAATATATTTCCAGTCTTTGAATCACATGGTTAATCAGGGCTCTAATCTGCTATCCATCAGACTATGCCAGTTCTTTGGCTTCCAATCAAATTTATAGGTGATGTGGGTCATGCATCCCTGAGCAATGCATTCACAGATAACCCATTGAAAAAAGGCAAAGATGCTGAAATACTGCTCGTTGTTAGAATTACTCAGTTGTTATAGCATTTGATGCTTTACAGGGCATTGCATAACTACTGCCTTTAATATCCATGATATGCCTAATCACCTAATAAAAGGACAATTGTTCATGTCAAAAAATGACCAAAAAGAACCCTCATACACTGACAAGTAAACATTTGATGCTTCTATTACATCTTCCCTATTCATAAAGATAGACATTTAAGAAAAGCAGTTGATGGTGCTGGTGAAATGGCTCATCCATTAAAACCGCTGAATACCAGAGTTCCATTCCCACACCCACATCTGGAAGGTGACATGGGCCTTTTAAGTCCAGTTCAAAACGATCAGATACCCCTTTTATACACATTGGCACTTGCACACATATATGCATACATATATAGGGCCCATATAAATAAAATTTCCTTCAAATTTTTAATAAAAAAGTTGAACATATTTTCCCACACTCAATTCACCACGATTCTATTTCTTTTTATTTTCTACCTTTGTGTCTATTCCAATAAATAGATTCAATAAAAATGACAATCTTCCCTACTCAAAAAACAAACAACCAAACAACCAAACAAAGCCATTTGGTTTTGACAAAATACCTTAGAGAAAAAGTGACAACAAAAAAGACATCCTATTAAAAAAAAAAAAAACCCTGACTTTGCATGCACTCATCACCTGGTACTGTGTGCCGTTATGCTAACTCTAGAGAAGAGCTGAAGAATGGGACAGAAGTGTCACCAGTCATAATGATGGGGGAAACAGGAAATTTCAAGTAACTCACTTTAACTCTTATACACAGGCAAGTTAAAAAATTTATTAAGTATCTTATAGCATGGAAAAGATTATTTTTTTGCAAATAAGGCCTTTATAAATTTAACTTATCTATCTACCTATTTATTTATTCATTTATATAGGATTTTGGGGGCAGGGTCTCATTACTTATCCCTGGCTAGCATGGAATTCACTACATAGACCAGGCTGAATAAGACTGTTTTTAAAGGATACCCCACTTCCTCCAACAAGAGGAACTGTCTGTGGGTGCTCAATGCATATTATACTGAACAATATGAAAATGTCAATTACACTTTATTTTTTAACTTCTCCATGCTTCTCTCTCATTGAGTTACACTGAAACAACGTCTCTATTGACAGTATCACTAAAGCAATGTCATCCTGGTTGTGTTTTAAACTCACTTTCAAGCCATGTTACTGCACGGTGAAGTGTGCTATCAAGAGCCAATGCACAACTTGGCTAATTGGACACTTTCAAGTAACCCATTTGTCCTAACAAGATTCATGGTACTATTGGTGGTGCTCATGCAGCGATATGCAGGACAATGCATTTCAGAGATAACCGTGCCTTTACATCTCATGAAGCTATTTAAACCTGTCCCTAATAGTCTTATGAAAACCTTTTACAAGTATTAAATTGTGCTCCTCCTTCTTCCTTCCTTTCTTTCTTACCTTGAGCTTTCTAAAAGTACTTCTTTAAAGGAAACCTTAGATAGTCGCCTATTACCACATTACCCGTACTTTGATACTATGATATTATATTTAATACTGCCTCAGCATTAAGAGGGATCAAAAGAATGCTATATTATACAGGGAAAGATTAATGATCCTTGTGCCTGACATTCAGTAAGTCATACAAAGTCAAATCACTGCGGTTCTCAAGCCTGAAAAAACAATGTTTTCAGTTATGCTCAGGCCCTCAGAGAGGAAGGGCAGGAAATAAAGAAAAAAGGATGAGAGGGAAAAGTGGGGTTCAGCAGGCAAGGAAAATTAGCTTCTGTGGTGACTTTAACCTCAGTTTTCAGAGAACAGGGTGGTGCTGGTTGAGAACCTCACTACCTGTGTTCACCAAGTTCTGAAATGCTTCTCCAATACTTTTCTGTATCACAGCAAGTAATGTCAGCTACTTTGTTCCTTTTCCCTCTATAAATGTACTGGGCATTTGAACTCTAATTTACAATTGTTCATTTTCACTCCTAGACACAGGGATGAATGAATACTCTTGGTGACAACAAATGCAAATAATATACTTTGATTTTCTCC